ACCGAGGCTTGGAGAATTGGAATCACAGGCCTGGGGTCACATGGCGAGGAAATACACAGAGCAACCACCCGAGCCCCCGTCTTGTCCAAAGTCCTTAAAAATTGGCTCCCCAGGGCTTAAACCCATGGCTTGGCTCTCCATGTCCCAGCCAGGAGCCCAACACCTGTGTTTATGTCCAGTGCCTCTGTTGGGTGGTTCCAGAATGTTCAGGGACTGATTCCATCACAAGCTTGGAGATCCATGGCCAGAAGCCCCGTTCTGATCTAATGCTTGAGGAGAAGGATGAGGGGGTCCAGGGGCACCGGACCAATTAAGGCTCAGACAGGGAAGCCACTCAGATGCCAGCAGCTTCAGACCCAGGCAGGCCCTGAGAGGTCATGTGAGCAAGGGTTTCTCAAATCCTTTTGATGGCAACCCACAGAATGTAAGAAATTTCACACCTGGATCCAATCAGCCCCCAACACACACACACCCACCACAGAGGCACAATTTGCTGAAGCAACACTTTACTGCTTGTGATAAATTAACACATGCATAAGCACACACATACACACGCACACACACACGTGCACGCACACACACCAGATGCAAGCCTCTAAACTGATTTCATGATCCACTCACGGACCAGGGCTACAATTAAAATTATCTGTCAAACTGCTCTTGTAAAATGGGAAAGCTCAGGTCAGGAGGGGGGCTGCCCAAGGTCACCCAAGACACCAAGACACATGCAGAGTCAGGACTAGAACCTGGTATCTAGTTCCCAATACTTCTCGTTACCCCAAATTAAATTCCGATTAACAGAATGCTAACCCAGTTGGGTGTGGAGTTCAAAGTCTGGGGTTCAAAGTCACTACAGCCAGCCAGGGTCTAGTTCCATGCTTCTCCGAGTGCTCGGGAGGCATGCAGGGCCTCTGGGTCCCAGCTGTGGCCATCGGTTCTCACTGAGCCCGTGGGAGTCAGCGGCCAGGCTCCCCCAAAACCAGGTTTTCTGTATTGACCTAGTCTTGGCTGTGGTTCCCGAGAAGATGCAGACCTGAGCCCTGCTCACAGCCGAGGTGTCTCTGATCTAAGGCAGTGCTGACAGAGAGCAGCGTGCAGGGGGTCTGACCCAGAGCACACTCACTGGGCACTCCCCCCCGTGCCAGACCCCGTGCCAGGCCCCGTGCCCAGCTAGGAAAGCCGAGCCAGCAGCAGTGAGGCACAGGCCCCGCCCCCGGGGAGTTCAGGCTCTGGATCTGCACGGTCCCGGGTTCAAATCCCCACTCTGCCTCTTTCGGGTTGTGTGGCCAAGGTTCCATGCTCGGCCTCAATCGAAGTGGGATTATGACATCTACCTATTGGGTTGTTGGGAGGTTGAAGGGACCTAACCCGTAAGAAAGTCCCTGGCACATAGCAGGCGGTCGGTAAGTCGTAGCGTTCATGATTATTATTACCGATAAGAAAAAAAAGAAAAAAGCCAACTCACGGATAAAGGAGAGGGACAACATCCCAGAAGGGAAGAAACGTCGAGAGCAGAGGCAGAGTGGAACACACAGGGCAAGCTGGTGAGGCGTGGAGGTCTGGGGAAGTGGGGAGTGGTTGGGAGATCAAGCGGAAGGGCAGGGCTGCCAGCCGCGGAAAGACCTGGAAATTCAGGCTGAAGAACGTGGCAACGGGGAGCCACTGAAGGCTTTAGAGGAAGGGAGTGGCGCAATTGGAGTATGTGAAAGAAAAGATGGATCGAGGACCCTTGACGGATAACAGCAAACCTCCCCCAGGGCTTGACTTACGCCATCGCCGTGGGCTTTCTGAATTCAGCAGGGAAGGGCGTGGTCACCATCCTGAGAGGCCTCCAGGAGGTGGCAGGATTTCTGAGGATCCCCAGGGAAATTCTTGCCACCTGAGTGGGGTAGGATGGGTCTCTCTGGCGGCAGCAGAGGGGAGCACCCCAGTTTCTTTCCCGCGCTAGCGCAGGTCCCAGGAGCAAGTGCCAGAAACAGATGTGCGAGTGTGACCAGAAGCCGGCCTTGTGTCTGAGCAGGTTCTGGACACACAGAGCAGGCTGGGACCTCATCTCGGGGGCAAGCCATATGCAGGAAGACTACACCCCCTGCTAGACCTCGGGGCACTGAGTTATCTCCCCTGGCCCCCGAGGGGACCGCCCCGGCGTGGCCGTCTGATGAGCGGCCCTTGCCCTCACTCAGCACAAGCCCGGATCAGGGAGGCATCAGGGACCGGGAGGCCAAAGGGACAAGGACGAGCCAGCGCTCGTCCAGACTGCGCCACCAGAGAGGTCAACATGCCACGGCCGCTGTGCTGCCTGCCCAGCTCCTCAGTTCTGTCTCCGTGCCACTCTGTGAACACCTCGAGTGCAGGGGCTGTGTCTCCTTCATTTATCTGTTCATCCAGTCCCTCATTCAGTCAACAAACACTGGAGAAGCCCCTGCCAGTCACGCCGCTAGGCCCCGGGAAGCCGGCTCTATCAACCAGGCTTTGATCGGAGCTCCAGAACAGAGAGGAGATACCCATATACAAAATCAGGGACTTTTTACGGGGATTTACTTCCACGATTGTGGGCGCCAGTAAAAGAAAACATTCCGTGAGAGGCTGTTTCTTATTCTGCTGGCGTTGCTACCTGAAATCACGTGGCCCAAGTGACAGGGCAAACTGGAAGGACAGGGATGAATGGAACGGTGAGGACAGCCCCGAACGCCCTTCATCATCTCATCACCTCCAACAAGAGACGCTGGGGCAGGTGGCCCGGCAGGACCAGGCGCAGCTTTCTGACACCAACATAGTGAGCCAGCAGATACGGGACAGCAGGTGTCAGCCGGGACAGCGTCTCATGCACATCTCCGGAGACCCACACCAGCCTGGAATTCTGCAAGGATGGAATTTCTGGGAAATGCAGTTTCCATGTAGCCAAGGGACATCTGACAGATCCAGGATGGTACCCCCCTTGGGGGGCCATTCAATTTTGAGAGATGACCTCCCTGATGGTTCTCCTGTCACCCAAGAGCTGGTCAAATAACAGAGTCAGAGAGACTGCCTCCTCCCAGGTTTTGGCAATTCCTGGATTTCAATCATTTCCCCAGAGCTGTTCACAGCAGTGAGCGAGGGTCCAGAGCAGCCACCATGGAGGACCTCAGTGGGGGCCCCCTCTACAATGAAGCCAGAGCCCCAACCGGACTAACCACCCAGGGACTGTCTCTGTTATCCAAGGCGGTTAGAGCAGAGAGGAACCTGACCCTCAGGTGGAATCCAGGGGATCCTCCCAAGAACCCCTAATATGGACGAGTCCCTGAACCACCCCAGGTTCTGTGTTCTCTCCGTGTTCTCTCCCCAACCACCTTCTGCTGTTGATGTGCTGTGTGATTTTGGGAAAGTCTCCTAACCTCTCTGCACCTCAATGTCCTGGTAGATAAACAAAAGTTGCCCACGGGCCCCTCCAGCTCAAGCCCAGCTCAGCCTGTGGTGTTGCTTTCGTAACCTCACAGCTTCCTTTGTCCACAAATGCCTGCCTGTGCCTGTCTGAATGCTGGTGCCCCGAACTGGGATGCCCGGAGGTGACAGCCTGCACGCAGCCCCTCCTGCAGAACCTAGCAGCAGAACCTCCCTGAACCTGATGGGAGGTGGAAGAAGCTGGGACTGGGGTCTCCGTCAGCCAGGATATCGCAACCAGGGAGAGATGGCATCAGAGTGAAGCTTCTGACTCTGCTACATTCCTATTTAACATTGGACTTGGGAAGTGGTTTTGATCAAAAAAAATTTGATGAGCAAATGGGACATTTGAGCCCCATTCTGTGTAACACTGTCAAATACAGACGCGAGTCTGTATCAAACTTTTCTAAGACACTAGTACATTCAAAGTCACCTCATAAAATTAAATTTTATTTTGAAAACATTCAGCATTGGAGCTTTTTAAATATAGATCCCATTTGTTATGTGGTTATTCTGGGGTTTGTCCGTGTAAGGAAGCCAAAGGTCCTTTCTTGGAAAGGACTCTCCTCTGTTTTGGAATGTGCGCATTCTTCCTGCAATCTCGGTATTAGAACACCCTTTCTTTTACGAATTGATAGATGAGGTGGGTTTTTTAGAATCCTTGCTTGGTAAAAATAAACCCCTCGGCTGAACCTTATTTTTTTTTAAACGTCCTGCTCTGTGACATTCCAGAACCTCAGCATTCCCGTGTCAGCACCCAGGTGGCCTCCGGATTACCCACTTTACATTTTTCAAAAAAACGTTCTAGCTCCTTTTTTAAAGAAACTGGAAGTCAGAGACGTTCAGTAACAAGCCTGAGACCACATGGCTGGAGAAGCCAGTGCTGGGATTTGACCGTGACCCTCTCTGGCCCGGAAGCTCAAGCTAGCATGATTGCCTAGCACCTTCTCCCCATCTCCTTAAGGAAGAATGCAGCCCAGTGCTTGGCCAGAGAGGCCCCCCAAGAGTAAGGAGATGAACCCCAAAGGAGGCTTGGATCTGGTCCCAGAAAACCTTCTATTTTTGAATCTGCACCTTCTGTTCCTGAGAGTCCGTGGTTAACTCAGGGTTCGGCACCCCAGTGGCAGAGGAAGGAGAGGTACGGGTAATTCCCCGGAGCAGAGGAAAATGTCCATGTGGTTTTATTCATCTTAAGAATAAATTTTATTTAATATCTATATGGCAGACTTATGGGGTCAACTTGGCTTCTACCTTGAGTAAAAATTCTCTAGAGGGTGGTAGTGAGAATCCGATTGCAGACACTGAAGAGTAAATGCATCTGCTGGAGAAGGGGCGCTGTCTTCAGGGTGAGGGGGGACAGCTGGCCTGGAGCTAGGGGCGAGCTCCCAGCATCAGAGGGGCCGACCTCACAAGCAGGGGCCAGGGACCCTGACCTTACCCGGTCCTATGACCAGAGTCGCTCTCCTGGGACTCTGTAGAGCGTGAAGAGTGGCCATGGGGCTCCTCCAAGCCCCGTGGACTGTGGAGAGAGAAGAAGGTCCGAGACCGGGAGCCTCTCTCAGGAGCCCAGCAGCGTCAGTGGGCTCCGTGTTGTAGGAGAAGGGGACAAAAGTCTTGGTCAGCAGAGGATGTTGGGAAAGTATTGGTAGCGACGGTTGTAGCTCCTTAGGTTCCTCTTCAGGCAGTAGACGAGCTTCCGGTCACAGGCGCAGAGCTGTGCTTGGCAGGGGGGCCCGGACTCTGCAGGCAGGACGCCAAATGCACAGTGAGGAAGCGAAGGGGGGGTTCTACCGACACTGCATCTCGGGCTTGCCTTTAGTCGGAGCGGACTCCCCAGCCTGCCTCCTGCCCAGGAAGCTCTCAGTCTGATGAGAGAGCACAGCTTCCACACTGGGAAATGCATGAGCCGATGGAAGAGGCGTAGCTGCTGCCCCAGGGGGAGGCTTCCGTCCAGGGAGACACAGCCCCTGCCCTCCGGGAGTTCCCAGTCTGACGGTGGAGACAGCCCCTGCTCCGGAGGAACTCCGGTTCTCATAGAGGAGATACCACCCCCAGACTTAGCTTTGAACTCAGATGGCCCTGAGCTTGAATCCCAGCTCTAGCTGTGTGCACTGGCAAGGCTCTGAGTTCGTTTCCTCATTTGTAAAATGGGGAGACTAAATACACTCCAAAAGATATTTGGGGGAGCAAGTAAACAGAGGTATGCAAAGCATTTGGCACCTAGTGAATGCTCAGGCTGTGATGTTTCAGCCCTTCCCCAGAAGGTCAGATGCGGCTGCAATAATCCTGCCCCTCTTGCGCCCAGCTCTGCCCTCTAAGATATAGGCTGGCTGACCTCTAGGGGCAGCTGAACTCAGAACCAGCAGAGACCCAGGTTCTATCAGTGGCCGGAAGGAGAAGCCCCAGGCTTACCACAGGTGACCAGTCCCCGTGAAAATCTGTATTTGTATGACTGTGTCCGGGTGTGGCAGCCTTTCTCCTCCAGCCGCCCATAGCAGTGATCATGCACCCAACAGCACCTGTCAATGCAAGAGACGTAGATCCTACGTAAGGGGCACGTCACTTTAAGCAGAGGCCACCTAGGTGGGTGCAGTCTGGCAAAGAAAGAATCTAGGGATATGGATGAGTACTTCTCTGCTCTTGCACTGGGGCTGCCTGCCACTGGCTAGTGGTTCACTGACCTGCTTTCTCCTCCAGGGCTCACGGTGAGCCTACATTTCCCAGCCTCCCTTGCAAGTGGGTGTGGCCACACAACTAGGTTCCCGCCAGGGCATCATGGGCAGAAGGGATGCCCACCACTTCCAGACCTACCCTTGAAACCCTCCCACACTGTCCTCCTCTTTCTCTCTTTCTCCATCTCTCAGCTGGATGGAGATGACCCAGCAGAGGACTCTGAGGCCACAGGGGATGGCAGAGCCATAAGAGGGAAGGAACCTGGGTCCTGGAATTAACATGTGATTCACATGGAACTGTTAGGTGAGCAAAAAACAAACTTCCAGTATGTTAGGTGTGGCAGATTGCATTTTTAAAAAATTGATTTACAGAAAAATAGAGAAGGTAGTACAGAGTGTTCCCTTTTACCCCACATCCAGTTTTTCCCATCATTAATTAGTACAATACACTTGTTACAATTAACAAACCAATATTGATGTCATTGACTAAATAACTAATCAGCTAAATCATAACATATCATTATTGATTCATTATAAAAAGTCCATAGTTTATTTAGATTTCCTTAGTTTTTATCTAATATCCTTTTTCTATGTGAGGATCCCATCCAGGATACCTCACTACATTTAGTTGTCACGTCTTGCTAGGCTCCTCTTGGCTGTGACAATTTCTCACATTTTCCTTGGTTTTGATGACCTTGATGGTTTTGAGGAGTGTTGGGTAGGTATTTTGTAGGATGCCCCTCTATGGGGTTTGTCTGATGTTTTTCTCATAATAAGACTGGGACTATGGGCTTATTTTGCTTCTCTAATTACTCCAGCTTTGGCCATTGGGAGCCATTGGGAGCCCTTCCAGTTAGCTCCTGTGGTCCCTGACATATCTCTATCAATGTGGCAGGTGGTTGTTTTTGAACACTTCCTTATCTTTTGGTCTTACATGAGACTCCAGGTTCATCCTGTATATTTTCTGCCCTGGTCCTAGAATCAGCCAGGTCTCCAAGGAGCCTTGGTTCCATTTTTTGAAGAATGGTGTCAGAGACCAGGTCTGGGCTTTAGGAGTTGCTTATTGCTAATGGGTTATTGTTTCTTTTAGGTCCTCTCCGCTGCCAGAGCAAAAAATGTGTCTATTTTAACCCATGTTTGTACACACATCTGTACCTATTTCTGTATGTAACCACCGGCATCTATATTAAGCTAAACAGGAGTTCATACTGACATCTCCATCTCTAATCCATCACCACAGGGCGTAAACTCCCCCTCCAGCAGTGGGAAACTTGGCTCCCACCATCTGCCATCCATTTGCCTAATGGCCCCATCCCATTATCCACATCAGGGGTCTCAGAATTTTCCAAAGAATCGTCTCTCCTTCTCACATGTTCTAGAACGTTGACACTTCCCAATCAAGAAATGGAATCTCGGTCCCCTTCTTCTCAAAGCCTTTGTGACTGCCTCCACCAACTGACACCATGGAATTTCTGAGGCTAAACCCTTTTGTCTTGCAGTCTTGGGACACTCACTCTTGGAACCCAATGGTCACTGTACTGTGGGGAAGTTCCAACAGCCTTGCAGAGGCCTAAGTGAGAGGAACCTCATTTGAGCTGCCCCAGCTGAAGCTGGGTGGAGCAGGGTCAAGCCATCCTGCCAAGCCCTGCCCCACAGGCAGATTCTTAGCAAAGTAAATGGTCATGGTCACTTGAAGTCACTACTCTTGGGGTGATATGTTACGTAGCAATGGACCAACTGACACATGTGGTCACTGAGACACGTGACATTACTAGATGTATCTCGAGCAAGTCAGTTAACCTCTCTGACACGCAGTTTTCTCACCAATAAAATGGCGCTTTAATACTCATCTTCCGGAACTGACGTGGAATTACGTGAGATTGTGCAGGCGCAGAGGCTGAACATAAAGGATAATCATGATAATCAGCTCACCAATCCGTGCCGTCCTTGGGGGTCCCCCGACCGCCCCAGCCACAGTAGCAGCCATAGAAGCCGTAGTTCGTCAAGGCGTTCTTCCCAGTCACCCTCTCAATCATGGACTTGAGGTCCAGCAAGCCCCCGGGCACAGCAGGAACACCTGGAAGACAGCCCCCGGGCCCCGGCGAACACGCTTGCCCGGCATGCACCTGCCCCTGCTCCTGCCCCCGCTCCTGCCCTGGGGCTTGTGGGGAGCCAGGTGTCTCCTCCTTCTTCTCCCCATTAGTGGGACGGGAGCAAGAAAGGGGAGGAAAAGCAGTAGAGCTACAAGTCCGGACTCGGAGAATGGGAACCGTGGGTTCAAATCCTGCCTCTGCCCACTCATTTCACAGCATGATGTCGAGCAAGTCACTTAATCTCTCAGAGCCTCTGCCTCCTCATCGGCAAATTAGGGGTCGGGGGGATAGGGCGCTAAAGTGAATGCCTACGTTGTGGAGTTATCTTGAGGGTTAAAATGAGAGAAAGTATGTGAATTCTGAGGACAGAGGCAGACACCTAGTGAATGACCAAGAAATACGAGGTCTAATTAATACAGTAGCTGTAGGAAGCAGCAGACAGATGCGCACTCCCCTCCCCTCAAATAACACCACTTAGGACATAAGGCCCAGGACCTTAGCAGGGTGGGATCCTTCCAGATCACTGAAGCCAGCTCCCTCAACTTCCAGATTGGGAAACAGTAGTTTGGAGGGAAAGGTTCAGGGTTTCACAGTGAGCCAAGTGTTCCCTCCCTGCACTAAGCCTCCCGCCTTCCGCCCTCCGCGAGTCTCCAGGGATCTGGCAAGACATCAAAGATTAGGACAGCCTGCCGGGGGGCTGTGTACATGGTTATGGGGCTCCCCTGTGCTGGGCAGTTACCTCCAGCTGGGAGGTGGCAGCAGGTGGGGCCGGCCTCCGCAGGGAATGACCCAGGAACGGAATAGTTACAGAAGGGTCTTGTTCTCGTCTGGGCTTTATTTTGTTTTGTTTTGCACCAAAGTAAAAAATATGCCTCGCACATTTGCAAGCCATATATTGTTCCCATAGCAGACTCTTTACCCATCACCACCTAGAATCGTGCGACAGGCCCACCAGTGGGCTGAGTATCATCCTGTGTCACAGATGAGGAGACAGAGACTCAGAGAGGCGAAGGTTCTTGCCGACGTCTACACAGGAAGCGCAGAGCCAAGATTCAAACTCAAGTCTCCCCGACCTCAAAGACTAGCCTCCTTTCCACCTACCCTATTGTTCTTAGGGGTGGAAGGTCACAAGTTCAGAGGTCACGGGGCCAGCACTTACTGCAAACCAGGAACCAAGCCAGTGTGAGAAGGCCGTTCATCTCTGGGGTTCTGGAAAAGAAAACACATCCCGTCCCGTGACATGCCTCTCAGGAGACGCATTCAGAACCCCCCTCCGGGTCCCCACCAACTCAAGGAGTTGATCCCAGGGGTCCCTGGGGGCAGTAGAGCGCTCGTGGGGTATGGTCCTCCACAGAGGCAGGAGAGGACTTCCCACCATAGATGCCCCAACACAACGGTCCCCTCTGCACACAGTGTGACCGCCTTTCAGGGCCTTCTTGTGGCTTTGTGGGTCCTGAGCACTTTTGCCTTCATGGGCCCCTTCCTCCAAAAAAAATTCTTTCAAGGAGTATTTTACAACCGTGTCGGTATGGAAACCAACACAATCCGGGCTGGATGCAGTAGGACGTATTCGTGACTCATATTCTATTTTCCTCCTGATTCTAAAAGAATTCAAGTTCATACATTTCCATGGGCCCCAGGCACTGTGCCTACCTAAAGAATAAGTCGACCCTGGGTACTCAGGAGGTCTCCCATTTTTCCAGTGGAGAAATGGAGGCTCAAAGAGCTCGTAGAACTTGCCAGAAGCCATGCAGCTAGTAAGAAGTGGAAGAAGGGCTCAAACCCAGGCCTGAGCACCTCTCACAGCACAACACAGCCTCCCTTCACAGAAGGGTGAGCTGCCCTGTGGGCCGTGGAGCCTGGAGACCCCAGCTTCCCTCCCCAGCACCTGCCTTTGGCGAACACATAAATCACTGGCCTTGAGTCCCGAAAATTCACACCCCGAAGGCAGAGGAAATTCCATGTGTCTTGGGCCAGTGCCTGATAATAACGGCCTCTTAGAGGTTCCTTACCGGCAGCTGCCTGTCTGCTCTCCCTGTCTGGATCCCAAAGTCCTTGTTTATCCACAGCTGCTTGCTTGGCTGATGGTCTGCCAGGATTTCCCCTTCGGTGCCCAGCTGTCTCTGATCCCTGAGTCCAGCGGTCACTTGTACAGTGCTCTGCCCCGAGCCCCTGGCACCTCCAGAGGCCTGGCTCCAAACACACAGCCTCCAGCCCCCCGGGGCTCCTGGCTACCGGGCTGACCTCTCCGTGCCACCCGTTGTCCAGCAGCCCCTCTGAATTCCAAGAACATTCCTGAGAGTTCTGTCCACCCATGGCCTCTGCCCTGAGGGCTCTAACCAGCCAAGGGAAAAGGCTCTAGACCCTACCCTTCCACACCCATCTTCCTTGGCTGCTTCCCGGAGCTGCAACAGGAGGGAGGTGCCAGCCACCACGCACAGGGCACCCACAATGTGCCAGGTTCTGTCCCCTGTCTCTTTAAGCCTGCCAAGGACCCTGGCAGGTGTTATTGTTAAACCTGCTGGCACAGTGTCTGTCCTTCGACAGTCATTTGTTGAACGAGGGGCTAGCAATCATTGATCTCACAGATGGGGAAACTGAGGCTCAGGAAGGGGACGTGATTCAGCCCAGGACTGTGAATCTGCTCTGCTCACTGCCTCTGAGCAGCCCCTGTGTACTATTCATGGTGTTGCTTTTCCATATTTGATGATGCTTTGATGTCCTGTGGTGGCTTTGCTGGGCTGGGAAGACACAGCCCCTCCCAGGAGCAGCTAATTCCCAGGGTAACAGAAGATTCCCCTGGGAGCATGGCTTTCATACATGCAAACCAGCCAGTCCTCAACTCACTCCCCAACCCCTCTGTCTAACTCACTCCCCAACCTCTCTAACTCTCCCACTCCCAGCCAATATTTCCCCTGCTCTAAATCACCCAGGGCCAGGAAGCAGGCAGCTAGGGACCCACCACCCCTGCAACCCAGAGTCTGCTGAGCTTGGCCAATCCCAAACTATTTGCCCTGCCCTGCCTTGCCTTTCCCGTGGAAAACACAAGAAAGGCTCTGGACCGAGCTTGCTCTCATTTCTTCTGCCTCCTGGTCAATCTGGTGCTTCCCCGTGTGGCCCTGCATGGTGGGGTGGGTCCCCTTCTCTCAGAAACCGTAAGTAACAGACTGTCTTCTAAATGGCCCCTGGCTCCTGATCCGATGGCTTCACCATACCTGAATCCGAACCAAACTCCCAGGCACATTTTAGATCACCTTGGGCCAGGGCCATTGGTGTGAGGGAACAGCGTGAGGCCCTGTGGAAAGGGGTCCGAAAGTTGCAGAGAGGCCTCACCGAGGAGGCGACAGAAGCATGAACACAGCTGTCCCAGGGGCCGGGAAAGTGGCCCATCAGTGGAGCTCAGAACCAGTCCCCAGGAGAAGGATGTGGGGCTGCTATTTTTATCGAGCGACCACAGAGGGAAATGAGCACAGCCGTGAGATAATTTTGGAGTAAAGTGGTGGCTGAGGTCATGAGAGGTAGAGAGAGTGGAGACAGACAGCCTAATGGAAGCCTGAAAACGTGGGGGTCGGAAATGGCAGGGTCCCTGGATGGACAGGAGGTAGCAGCCCCCCGCCATGCCCTAGGACCCCCAGGTCAGGTATCTGGCCACAAAGGATGGACAGCACCAAGCCCACAGCACAGCAGACGTGTGAGAGACCTCCCCTCAATCTGGGGAGGGGAAGGCACTGGGGCATCAGGGGCCTCCTCTCCCAGCCCCTCTCCCTCCCTGCGCCCTGCCCACCACCCCACCTCAAGCAAGGCAGCCCCCAGAATGAGATTCCTCACCAGGGAGACCTTCTCTCCATCTCAGGCCTGCAGAAGAAGCAGGGGCTGGGCCCTTGGGTTTTAAAGGCCTCTGCCCGCCTCCCACGTCCCTGCCTGGGCCAGCTGCAGGACTCCAGAGGGCTCATGTAGGAAGCCCTGTTTCTCCCTCTCGAGACCCCTGAGGACTTTTTGCCTCCCTGGGTCCCGAAGCAGCTATTCCCTGGAGCATGTCACGGTGCCTGGGTGACATTCAGGAGAGACACTGAGGAGGGCCTGGCTTAGGCCACCCGCAGTCCAGGGTTCTCCACCAGGGATAGGACAGCTGGAATCCCCCTCCCAGGGCAGCCTCCCTCCTCCCGTCACCCTGCGTCTCTGTGGAGTCCTCCAGCCCACGGCTCGTGCTCATATTTCATTCCGACTCCCTGGGGCTCAACTCAGGGACATCCACGGCAGCCAGGCGGCACCCCCTCTTCCTGTCGTTCCCGACCTGCCAACCCCCGACTCTGCCTTGTCCCCGGGGTGGGGCGACCCAGGAGCCTGTGACAGCCCCACTCTGGAGAGATGCTGTAAACTGTCGCTGGAGCCCGGCTGGCAGCTCCCTTTTGGCCCCGGGCTCCTTACCCAAATCCTGCCTTCCTTCTCTCTGGGAAGGAGAACCCACCACGCTTGCAGTCAGAGCCATGCAAGCCGCAGTCCCCACTCAGCCACCCAGGAGCTGTGTGACTCCGGGCAAGTCACCACACTTCTCTGTTTGTTCCTGCGATCTAGGAGAGTGGTGACTCCCTGCCGCCCCAGAGGCTTGTGGTGAGGAACATACTGTATAAAACAAGGCCGAGTGGCGAGGTGTGTGTCTCAGGGGTTGACATCACAGACTCTAGATGAGCTTCAAGTCCTGAGTTCCAATCCTGGCTTCCCCACCACAAGCTGCATCTCCTCCAGGCTGGCTGCCCTTGGCTTGCCTCAGAGAGTCCTTGTTAGGATGAAGTGAATGAATGCATTTATAACAGAGCAGTGGTCAAACAGTGCGAATACGTAAATGAAGAGTAACCTTCTAGAACGTTCTTGAGGAGCATAGGTAACTGTTATTAGGCTCTGTTCTCCACTTCTATGAATCCTGAGCCCTGGCCCATCCCTGACCCCCGTGTGTACACACTTTTCTGAGACGTGGGTGTGAGCTCCTCCTTCTCCCTCTTGGCATCTCTTCTCCCCTCTCTCAGCTCGATCACGGCAGCATCAGAGAGAAGCCCCTCCTTCCGGCCCTCACCAGCCCTTCTCTTCCTGAGACCTGACTGCTGGGCACCCCGCGGAACCTTGTGAACCCCAGTTCAATACAGAAAGTACCTACTGAGTGTCTCCCACACGCAAGGCGCTGCGGGGGATCCGCTGTGAATGAAATGGAGGCCGGATCCCCTCACGCTTCCCCTCGGGTTGAGGGAACAGATAGCAAAGGCATCGAATAGAGACATAAGACGTCCTGGGGGTGATAGCGGGGAGGGCAAAGACTCCTCTCTGTTCCACGTGAACTTTTCTTTCTCCACCAGTTCCTTCCTCCACTACAGACACTCACAGCCCTCGCCATCCGACACCAAACAAAACGAGAGAGCAAAAGGAAGCCTCCCTGCCTCTGCCGACCTGTCTCTCCAGCTTTTGTTTTCCCCTCTAAAAGCCACATTTCTGGACAGAGAAGCTTCCACTTGCTCATCACCCACTTCCTTCTGAACGCAGGGCCACCTGAAGCCTCCGCTGTATCCCGGAGCTGGATCCCAGGGACCCCCAAAGCCTGGTGCTTCCCAAGCCTGGGCTTCACCCCCCACCCAACCCTCTCTCTCTCTCTCTGGCTTTGAGAGGCCACACCCCGCCATCCACTCTCCGCTGCTCACCCCCACCTCTGTCGGCCCCCCACTTGCAGGTGTCTTCAAGGATCTGCCCTCGGAATCTGCTCCTCTCTCTCTCCGCCTCTCCCGGGATGAGCTCATCCATGGTCAGGGTCTTAGGTCTTCTTTCTATGCAAATGTCCAGGGGCTAGCCCGGCCACACAGTGTCCAGCACTAGCTTTGACACTCCCTGAAATGAGTACGGGAATGAAGAAAAAGTGTAACGTCAGGTCCAAACGTCTGAGCTTCCAGTCAGACAAATCTGGATGTCCCCTCCGACTACCTGCGTCCCCTGGCCTCCTCAGGTCTTGCTCTTATCAGCACCTGTAGAACAGGACAATAATGGAACCAGCTTCATTCTGTAATTGTGATAATTCAATGAAGCGATGCAGAGAGGCTCAGCACAGAGCCTGGTGCCTTGTAGGTGCTCAGTGAACGTAACTATTATAAATATTATTGTTGTTATGGCATCACCCCCCCCCCGCCACCGAGGGTAGGCGCTGTGTCTGCTTCACGTCTGTACTCCTGGCGCTTGGCACACAGTAGTTGCTAAGTTAGGTCTGCCGAGAGAATGAATGACCCCTCCGGCTCTAGCTTCATACCCACCGCCCCAGCCCTCACGTCAAATATAGTAATTAAATATATACAATCATTACAATCCGAATACCTGCTTGAGAGTGTAGCTCAGTGTCCTGCAGGAACCCCAGGACCAAACTCATTGTCTCCCCGCCAACCCAGCCCCTGCCAGCCCCCTCTTCCTGGTCGTGGATCCAGTCAGTCATTCACACCTCAGTGATGAAAACGCCCCCACTACTTCCACCCCCATTGAGTGGAAGACTCTGGAGGGCAGGATCCTTCTCTGATTCTTTTCTGACCCCAGCACCTAGAGTAACATCTGACACATGGCAGGCCCTCAGGAAATATCTGTGGAATAAATTAAACATCTCATAAACATGCTTGTTCTCTGGCACCTGCTGAGTCCCTCTTGTGCAGGCTCGTCCCAGGGCCGAAGCCCCATGGAGGGCAGCCAGAGGCACGTGGACACTCTCTCATCCCGAGACCAGAGCTG